GCGCAAGGGAAAAGTCAAGTCAAGTCGGATTAGGACATCTGGATTGGTGTAAGCGATGGTTACAGGCAATGGACGATATGGCTCCGTGTGGCTCACGGTAGCGTTATTGCATTTAATCGATTTGCTCGCAACCCTAGTCTACCAGAATTTCTATTTTTACTTTGATACTGCCCTCAGCTTTTTGATTCATTTCCTCTATTTCGTCATTTAAATGGGTAGCCAAAAGAAGGCGAATTAAACTGCCGCATGAAATGGCAAAATTACCGGTTGTATAAACTAAAACACAAGATTATAAATTAAGAAATGTTCGGGTAATCACAGGAATTAACCGTTGCACAAGCGGCCAACTTAGTTGAGAAAAAAATACATGCATAAGAATGCTGAGGAATAGTTTGTGAAATAGAGAACTCCAGAGAGCTGCACTAACCAGAACTGTGGACACTGTTGCGTGGCACGTCCCGGCGTACCGCAATCCCAAAGCGAACGCTCGACCGGTTAGTATGTACAAATAAGCCAAGCTAGATAAATGGACGGAGAAAAGCACAGCATTGTTAGCCAACCCAAGGATCAAATGAATGGTAATCTCAGCCATCTTGTGGAATTCCCAAGTAACAATGAACAGCAACAAAACCGTGTGTGGATAGAAAAAAGTCTACTCTCCTTCGTCAGTTTATAACAACATAATACCGAGCAAATATTCGATATTAGCTTTAAAAAACTCAACTCCTGTGTAAACAAATGAGCTAGTCCCCAAAATGGTGCAACTCATAACATCGTTGAAAATCCGTTCGCGAAAACTTTTATGGGTTCTTCCCCTTGAAAAGGATAACAGTTTAAACTTTTATTATGGGCAATTTACCAAAGCTAACGCTTATCATACCACATAAGATTTTCACATAATGTTTTGGACAATTTTACAAATAGAAAATAATAATGAGATACATGATCACCCACGGATGTTGAAATGTCAAGTGTCCCGATGCTGTAACAAGCTGCGATTTGAACAATTCAAATGTAGGAGCACATACATCTTGGGATGCAAGAGAATTCTATAGACCGCACACTCTAACTGCAAATGAGTGATGCTGGCAATCTAGGTGATTGTTCTGGGTTCTCAACTTCAATGTTCCCCTGAGGTGATCATTTTGAGATAAAGACAAAACATAAAAACAGAGGTGGTTATGTGGTATGTTAAGATTAGGTCCCCTCGTAGTCGACGGTGCTGAGACGAGTAAGGCCAGAATGATTGCAGTCTTTTTACATATACCTTCTACCATTTTTGTTGCTAACCTTTGCGGACGTTCTAGAGCCTTCATGTAGCGGTTAAACTATGGATTTCACACTTGATCTGAGTATTTCGTGTGTGGTCGAAAGCTGATGGTAAGTGTGGGAACATGGTTACTTCGAACTGCATGAAAGCACGTTTAGGTAGTCGAAATTACTTTATAACCAATGAATGATGCTCTGGCACGGTGCGTAGAACAGCCTACGTTTTCCTGTACCATAACTCCATAACCCTTTCACCAATCATGCGGTGGTATTTGGTTCCCTAAAACATAGGAGAAAGGAGTCTTTTGCCGCATTGAAATAACTTTGCATTTTGAAACCTTGAGTTCAATATCACTGACGAGTTGCAT